TTGTTCCCTTGTCCCTGGGTTTGTTAACACCTCTTCTCCTGCCCCAACCCCCCCCCACCCCCACCCCAGCTATGTGCCTTTGCTCCTTTTCCCATCAAATGGGAGCCGTCATCCCTCCCTTCGCCTACTGACTTGTGAGACTCAACTCAGAAAAGAGACGGGAGGAACCCCGGGAGGAGCTATGGGCGCCGTCCATGTAAGCTTAGGATGTTACCTTCCGGAGGTCAAAGTTCAGAATCACTGGAATGAGTGGTTCCTTCCTGCTTAGCTTTTCGGTTTGAGGCTCTCGGCAGAGGTACAACTGAGACAAAGGCTGAGTCCGACAGATTAGATACCTGGTAAGACGCCCTGGTGGCGCCGTGGGCTAAGCGCGGAGCTGCACCCCATGAGGTGGCCTGTTCAAGCCCACCAGCTGCTCCGTCAAGATTCACAGTTTCGGAAACCCACGCGAGCAGTTCTCCATGCTGTCGGGTTGCTATGAGTCAGCCTCCACCCGCGGCAGCAGTTAAGCAGACAGTGGCTTGTGGCCAAAAGACATTCCCAGGGGACATGCATCTAAATTGGGGGGGGTGGTTCTGAAGGCCTGTTGTAAGGTGCGGAAACACCCGCAATCAAAACTTAGCGTTGAAAAGCCCTTAGTACCACACACACAGTGCAGAGCACGTGCCACGTACACACCGGGCCACCACTGAGTGCATCCTGCACAGCGCGCGGCCACCAGCGTGGGCACACCCGACTGCTCACAGTCTGGGTGTACAGAAGTCCCTTTGGGGTGCTTTCGGTTGAGCCCATGGTACCATCCTCATTTACATCCTCTGTCCAGGGGCGGAGCATCGCTGAGTCCCTATGGTTGTCCCCGGTCCTGCACCCAGCACCTGGTCCTCCCCTAAGGAGCCCTGGAGGCACTGTGGGTGAGCTGCTGGGTTACTAACTACAGGGCTGGCGGTTCAAACCCCCCAGCCCCTCTGCAGGCGAAACATGAGGCCGTCTGCTCAGAAACCCTGAATCCACTCCGTGGCCCTGGTTGGGTTTTCAGTCCTCCCTCGCTGCCCCTGCGGAGCCTCCTAGCTGGTCTCCCCTCCCCCCTACTTCAGGGAGCGATAGGGCACCATCCGTTCTCCCCCTAGGTACCCGGAACCCTTGCGTTTCTTTCCCCGTAAAGGGCCTCCCCTCCCCAATGGTGGCACAGAGGTCCAAGGTCTGGCTGCGGCCCGGGACAGACGGCACAGGTAGAGTGTGCATGCGTGTGCGTGTGTGTGTGCTGGTGTGTGCTGGTGTGTGCTTCTGCGTGTGCATCTGTGCTCTGTGAGCCAAGGCCAGACCCATCGCCCCGGTCTGCCCTGGTGCCATGTGTGCTCAGGAGACCTGTGTCCTAACCCAGCTTGCACCACTAACTCACCAAAGCAGCCCCGAGCAAGTTGCCTGGCCTGTGGCCCCACCAGGCACCCGTCTTTCTCATCTGCCAAACGGGTAGAACTCGTCTCTCCTCTGCCCACCTCGGCAGGGGCGCGGGGTGATGGTGAAGCACAGAGGCCAAGAAGCAGTAAGACAGCATTTGGGGAAACCAAGAACCTCATCCAAATACACGTGCCGATATTTTTACCCCCACAACCCTCTCTCCCACACAAACAGCCCGGCCACCCCCTGGTACGTTGCCTGGCTCCTTTGGCTCGGTGACTCAGCACGAGACGATTTTAGGGCAGAAAACACACGTGCATATATTTAGAACGTTCCCGATGCCGGAGTGAACACTTTGAAGAACATCCAACTTAGACACCCTGCGCCCAGAGTGCGTGCTTTCCTTTTTTGTCTTCTGCACTCAGGTGTGTGTGTGTGTGTGTGTGTGTGTGTGTGTGTGTGTGCGCGCGCGCGCATGCATGTTAGGTTTTTGAGTTTCATTTTTTCGGTTGGGTTTTTTTTTTTCTTGTCTGAAAACAAAACTTACCACTTTTAGAGGAAAACTGGGAAATTGGATTTATTTTAAGTCCCGAGTGTAATGCTGAAGCTTGCATCTCAAAGACATCCTTCCTCCCCTTCAAAACAATGGCCGAGCACTCGGGTCTCCTCCGGCCAGGGGGACATCGGTCCGCATACTATGTATGTCGCCTGGTAAAAGAACCCCGCTAGTGTAGTGGGCTACACGTGGAGCCACTCACCACAAGGCCAGCAGTTCAAACCCACCAGCTGCTCTGCAGGAGAAAGACTGAGACTGTCTGCTCCCAGGAAGATTCACGGGTCTCCGACAGGCACAGCAGTTTTTCTCCTCTGGCCCACGGGGTTGCTAGGAGATGGGATCAACTTGGCAGCATTGAGGTTTTTACTCTGTAATGGCAACTGGCAGACCTTTGAACTAGGGGAGGAGCCAAGCTTTTATAGGAGGAGAGGCTGAAGGGGGGCGGGGAGTCCAGTGCTCCCCACTGCTGTGGTCATTAGGCGCCCTCAGGTCAGTTCCAACCAGGTCGACTCTGTGCGTAACGGAATGGAGCACCACCCACGCCCCAGCCGTCCTCGCCACGCCGCCTGTGACTGAGCCCAGTGTTACAGCCACTGTGTCCTCCACCTCGTGGTGGACCCTCTTCTCTTTCACTGCCCCTCTGCCTCCCCAAGCATGATGACCTTCTTCAGGGACTGGTCTCTCCCAGCACTATGTCCAAAGTATGCCAGACGAAGTCTCCCCATCCCCGCCTCTCAGGAGCACTCTGGCCATACTTGATCCGAGGCACATCGGTTTGCCCTTTGAGCAGTCCGTGATCCTTCCACGATTCAGATACATTGATTCTTCTTCAGACTTCCTTAAGCAATTTCGAACTTGCGCATGCAGATGAGGCCATTGAAGAGACCGCGGCGTGTGCCCGGGCACACCTTGGTCCTCAGATTAACATCCTTGCTTTCCAAGAGCCCTTGTGCAGCAGAGTTACCCAGTGCACTGCGTCTTGTGACCTCCTGACTGCTGCTTCCATGCGCAGTGATTGTGGAGCCGAGCAAGACAAAGGCCTTGACACCTTCAACCTTTTCTATATTTTCCTTGATGTGACCTACTGGTCCAGTGGTGAGGAGTGAGGTCTTCTTTATATTGAGTTGTAATCCACACTGAAGGCAGCGAGCCTTGATCGTCATCAGCAAGTGGTTCAGGTCCGCCTCACTTTCAGGGAGCAAGGTGCGTCCTCTGGGTCTCACACAGTGTTACTAAGCCTTCCTCCAGCCCTGACGCTGCAGTCTTCTTCATAGGAGCCAGCTTCTCTGATTATTGGCTCAGCATGCAGATTAAATATGTAGGGCGAGAGGTTACAACCCTGTCGGACACCTTTCCTGATTTTGAACCATGCAGCATGCCCTTGTTCTGTTTATGCAACTGCCTCTTGGTCCATGTACAAGTTACGCACGAGCGGAATAATGAAGGGTTCTGGAATTCCCATTCTTCCCAAGTTTAGTCATAATTTGTTATGATCCACACACAGTTGAATGCCTTGGCATAGTCATTGAAGCAAAGTACTCGTCGACATCTTTCTGGTATTCTCTGCTCTCAGCCAAGATCTATCTCATGTCAGCAATGATATCTCTTGTTCCATGGCCTCTTCTGAATCCAGCCCAGCCCGCTAGCAGCTCCCCGCTATATTTATTTGTTGGATGATCTGCAGTAAAAGTTTACTTGCATGTGATTTCAATGATATTGTTCCATAACTTGAGCACACTGTTGGGCCACCTTTCTTTGGAGTGGGTGCAAATATGGGAGCACAAATATCTCTTGGCAGTCATTTGGCTAAGTAGCTGTCTTCCAAATTTCCCGGCATAGATGAATGAGTGCTTCCAGGACTTCATCGGCTTGCTGAAACGCTTCAATTGGTATTTCTTCCGTCCCTGGAGCCTTGTTTTTGGTTAATGCTTTCAGTGCAGCTTGGACTTCTTCCTCCAGCACTCATGGTTCTTGCTCATATACTACTTACTGAAATAGTGGGACGTCAACTAGACCTTTTTAGTAGTGACTGTGTAGTCTCTCCATCTTCTTTCAATGCTTCCTGCATCATTCAATATTTTGCCCATAACATCTTTCAAGATTGCCACTGGAGGCTGGATTATTTTTTTTCCTTGAATTCTTTCTGTTAAAGATATGCTACCCAATGGGTCTTACGTTTAAATAGCCACATGTAACTAATGGCTACTATGCATCGGACAACTCAGGCCTACCTCCACGCTCTGCAATAGTGAGCTCTGGGAAGGAGCAGCATTGTCTTCTCCTGGCTGGTGGCCAGGAGAAGGGGGTCCTGGGTCAGCTGACCCGTCTAGAAGAGGTCAAGGGAATGTTATGGTTTGACACCACGCACACACACACACAGTGTCCCAGAGCCATGGCTGGTACCGTGCAGATCGCTGAATGTGTTGGCCTCAGCAGGAGGCTCCAAGCCCGCTCTCACAGCCTCCCTTTCGTTTTGGCAGGAGCTACAAGGTTCGATTCAACAGTGTCTCCTCCTACTCCGACTCACAGAAATCCTCAGGGGACGGGCCTGACCTCAGAGACAACTTTGAGAGCACGGGGCCACTGGCAAACGTGAGGTGAGAGGGGGCCCAGGGGGCTGGAGGGACTTGGGTCGCTCAGGAGCTGGGTGCGGTTGCAACATGGGCTCTTGGTTGACTGATCGTCGGTCCTGCCCTCCATGCCCACTCATGCCGACTGCAGCGGTCAGGCTACCTGGGACCTCCCCGGCAAGAGTCCTTACCTGGTCTCCCTGTGTTCCACGCTCGATCCTGCCAGTGACTTCTCTTCCTGTGCAGTCTCCCCTGGGCCCTCGGGACCCAGGCTTCCACCCAGCCTTTATTTGGGAGGATGTTCAGACCTGGTAATTGCTCAGTGGCATGCTTTACACTCAAATAGAAGCTTCTGGAAACACCCAGCCATGACCCACGTCTAGAGGGTAGGACTATACATACTCCATTATTGGTAGTGTAGTATCAATTTTATTGGGACAGTTTGTTTTCTGACTTGTCCTCTCCCCTGGGTGCCCATTGGAATCATCCGGGGCTATTTACAATACATCGATCCCTCAGCCCCACCTCCAGAGTATCCGCTTGAATTGGTCTAGAATTAGACATAAGCACTGCACTCTTTGGTTTAAAAAAAAAATCTCCTTCATTGACTTTCTTGTGCACCCCGCTTTGGAACATATTGAGCCCGAACCCCAGGTTTTTCCATCCAAATGTAGCCTCATACTATGAGGGCATTGTAGGTGGTGCGTGTACATTAGTTCTGTATTCTCATAGCCGGGAGCTCAGTTTCCACCAGTCAGCCAATGGGAGCGAGCTGAGGCAATCGGTGTCCGAAAAGACTTAGGAACCCCCCAGACGCAGTTCTCCTCTGTCCTAGAGGGTCTTGCTATGAATCAGAACCAACTGGACCGCAGGGGGCTTGGTGTTTGTTTCTGGATCTCAGTGTGACGGGTGTCGGGGGAGAAAGAAGCCTGTGGTGTCAAAGCCATGGCTACACGGACCCTGTTCTGATGGGGGCAGTTGATGGGGGCAGTTCTCAGGCCTCCACGAGTCTCTCAGTCCCTCGCTAACTGAACCTGCTCCGAACCAGCGCAGAGCAGTGGTATCCATGTTCCTCATCGTGTGCAGAGCTCATAGGTCAACACTGAGATAGCAGTTCTGGAATTTGATAGTTAGACCCTCTTCTCCTGCATCAAACACATCACGCTTTAGAACCAGGCTTTAGAATTACGCCCAGCCTGGCTGCTGCCTGTGTCTGTATAGCTACGGAATTGCAATGGGGTTTACAGCTCAATATTTACAATCAGTTTTCTGATAGAAAACACTACCTTTGAACTCCCACTGAATCCAAATGTCATCCCTCTTGACCAGGGGTCCTCAAACTATGGCCCGCGGGCCACATGTGGCCCGCCAAGGACATTGATCTGGCCCGCCGGGTGTTTTTGTCACCACTGCCTGTCGTGCTTAGCAGCCGACTCATCCAGTGCGCATAGGAATTTGTTCATAGTTTGTTTGTTTTTTTAACTATAGTCTGGCCCTCCAACGGTCTGAGGGACAGTGAACTAGCCCCCTGTTTTAAAAGTTTGAGGACCCCTGTTCTTGACCTTCCCGTCCCCACCCACCCCGTCAAAAATAATCTCATTCTTCTCGTTAGCAGATCGGTGGGTTACAGCTGTACTTACTCGGTTTTTGTTAGTGTAGGGGAGCTTGTTTTCTGACTTGTTGTGGGAGGACTGGCAGGACATCCTGACGTTGCCTCTTGGCCCTCAAGGCCTGAGGTATTCACCACCTGGAGTCACCTAAGAGACTCTTCGTGGATTCTGGTTCAGAGGCTTGAGAAGAGTTGGGCATCATAGGTGAAGACCACGATGGGTATTTGAGTCTAGTCGTCATTGCCAGACCCAGCCCAGCTCCATCCCAGGGCAAATTGACGATTCCATTGCCTGAGCCATCTGTTGGCGAACAGGTCTGAAATAAGAGCTGGGTATGAGCATCAATCAAAGCCGGTTAGAGCGAATGGGGGCACGGTGATGTCCGTCTGTGCTGGTGCAATGTGGCATCTTGGGTATAACGAACAGAGGCCAAGTCAGGGCCCACTGAAGCATTTTATTTCGGCAGGCACGTCTGTCCCTACCTGCTTGATTATCAATTTGATAACTTTAACCAGATTTTTTTCTAGAAACCACCTAGATTAGGGTGGGTTAAATGAACCTGGTTGGAATGCTGCTGAACAGTGAGAAAAATGCGTTCCCTCTTATCTGCGGTTAGGTGGAGGAAAGGATGGCAAAAATATCATGCCAGGACAAATTATAAGCTTGAGTTAAATATTGAAACTCCTTAATATAGGTGGTGGGATCAATATAAGGGAGCCTAAACGCTTTTTAATCTGAGATAAATCAGTGAGAGAGAAGGGACATGAACCGGACCACTCTCTGAGCCCTGGCCACTTTCCGGAGTGGACGAAGGAGAAGGGGGTTCTGAGGTCGCATGTGCTTGGTAACCGACGAGGGAGTGCAGACT